TGGGTGTGGGTGTGTGTGTGTGTGTGTGTGTGGGCGGTGTGTGTGTGTGTGTGTGTGTGTGTGTGTGCGTGTTGTGTGTGTGTGTGTGTTTTTGCAGAACTGCGAATGTTACTAACAGCTGCTGACACACTCAACCGCATTTTAAAAGGATGCTTCATCGGTTTGGGACTTCAGCTTTCTCCAGGGCCCGACGTCGTACAACAGTCTCAACACTTCTGGATCACGGCTAAGGTCGAGTTTGTGGAAATCGAGCGTGATCCGACCCTGTAATCAAAGCTGCACTCAATGGAAGCTTTTAGCAGCATCAATGGCGAAACTGCGCAAGTGCAACAAAATTCCAATGCAGACTTCCCAACAGGTTCATTGTTTCAGAGCTACGCAGCTCAGAATTTAGGGCCTTCATTGGCTCGAAATCTGCAATGCATCTTCCCGTTCAGGCACGAAAAAAAACTTGGCTCACCGATTTTTTGTGTCGCATCGAAGAGCAAAATCGACACATTTACCCGCAAGATCCAGCCTGAAAGCGAGGGTGGTTGGGGGGGAATTTGGGGGTTGGGGGGGTGGGGAAGGGGGGTGGGGTGGGGTGGGGTGGGGGGTGGGGGGCTGGGGCGTCGTCCGGAAACCATCGTAAACAACAGCGGCAGCAACAACAACAACAACACCAACAACAACACCTTCACAAACACCAACATAAGCAGCAGCTGCAGAAGCAGCAGCCGCAGCGTTGATCGCAGAACAACAAGAGGAATTGTTGAAGGGGAATTGCGCGATTTCACGTCTGAAATCTGCATTCCTGCAGGGGGTTGAGACGCGACGGAGTGCTGCTCGTCAAGATCCCAGGAAGCTTTAGATTTGGGGGCGGCTCTGTCGATTTCGGGCAGGGTGCGCTACCAACCCGGCAGCATGGACCCCACACTGCGACACCCGAAGCACCTCAGGCTCGCCATGGACACGTCGTGCATGACGTTCTGGCCTCAAGCAGAGGCAGTTTTGCATGCGGCGTGAGGCTATTGGAGGCCCGACAAAGCCGACCACAGACCGGATCGGGGCCCGCACCGGCAAGGCGGCCAAGAGCAGCTGCATGGGCCTCTTCTCTGCAGAATTCATGATTGAGAGCAACAAGATAATTAATCGTATTCCACCACTCGCGCCATGAGCTCCTCCGAGCCTCAGCAAGTTTTCGGGTTTTTCAATGATGCACCCGGCAGCTTCTCCATGCGCAGACGCAAAGATACAGGCAGTCGCTCGGTATCCACCTTCCACGTGATGGCCGCCAGCTACTGCAGAACCCGCCGTCATTTCTGACAAACAGAATCACCGTCGAAGCATGTTTTGTTCAACAGATTCGCAACTCAATGGCAAGGAAATCCAACTTCCCAACGCACACCTTCTCCAAGAAGTCCATGCGCTGAGTGAGCAATGCGTTGCGTTCCTCGCAACGGTTAAGGACTGGCAGTGTTGGATTCAAGTGGATGCTCTTCATCGAAATGGCTGAAATTGCCCAAGCCTCTCTAGCTCAAACTACTTGCATGGCGGTGATGATAATGATGACTATGGGAAGATGATGCAGGTGACGATGGTGACAGCAGCGATGGTGACGAGGGCGATGGCCTTCATCAAACTGATGATCGGCATAAATACCGCTAACGTGTTAGTCTGCGCAGGAGAGGCTATCTTGACTGGCGGCAGATTGGGGCACAGCCCACTCCAAACTGGCAGGTAAAGTGGGACACAGTCCCTCCCCACCTGGCCAACTCCCGCATGAATTCATGGTCATGGCCATCGGCGTCAAGGCGGATCACATTTTTCAGGGAATCATCTATGGCAAACCTCGCCATCCTTTGATGGGCGAGGCTATTCAGCACGCCTTTGGCAGGGAAGTTCTGACAGCCAAAGCGAACCTGGATTACATGATTTTCTGCAAGTTCCTTTGGAGGACCTTGAGCAAGGACCTGGGACATGACCCCAGGCCGGGCTGGCACATTTCCAGAACGTACGGGCCGATCTACTTGCTGCAGGAGCGCTGGGACAAAACCAAAAAGGACAAGACCTATGAGAATGACAGTCACTACTTTGTGACTCAGAATCTCACTAAGGTCGCGTTCACAAAGTGCTGGAAGTGGCAGAAAGGCTTTCAGGGTGACCCCACCACCAAAGAGAGAACAGACCGCATGCTGCAAAGCCAGGTCCCGGAGATCTCCTTGGAAATCCAGGAAAAGCCGACCCCCTCAGAGCACAGCTCCACAGCGCCAAGGGCACAGCCCCCGGCAAAGGCCACCTCGGCCCCTCCACCGGTTTCAATATAATAGGACGAGTTCGACGCTTTGCACAAGTCGAGGGTCTCACACCCAAATCTCGAAAGCTTCCAGATAGGGGCACTGCACCACTGGAACACTCGCTCCCAGCAGATATGGTATCCACTCACAGTCAGAAAAGGTCACACAGCTCTTGTTGCCAGCATTCGCAGAAGGCGGACACCAGACTCCACTAAAAGTGTATTTGACAGTTGCAAAACATGTCTATGATTGGACAGGAACCAACCAACAGCCTTGCGATCTGCTTGATGGGAATCACTAAGGTTGATCTACCAAGTCTGCTCCAGCAACTACAAACATCACTGCACTGGACACAGAAACCCCCTGAGCCACAACGTTCGTGATCAGTCTTTGCATGCGAGTTCAACATCAGCTTGCCCGTGCATTTCCCAAGATGTCCTTCCGCAGCGCAGCAGCTGCCGGAAGCGCAGCCACGACGTCGTGGATGAAGGATGCAGGGATTCGGTCAAGGTTCGCGGTCGGTTGGCTCGGGCAAGTTTGGGAGGCAAAAACGAGTTAGTGGCTGGCAAAAACGAATTCGCGGCTGCCACTAAGTCGATTTTGGTTTTGGGCAGGCGAGTTAGTGGCTACCACTAACTCGATTGGCTTTTGGCAGGGCGCAAGGCTTTGGAGCAGAGCGGCAGGGTGGGAGGCAAACCAGGGTGGGAGGGTGTGGGGCAGGGCAGGGTGGAGGGGGCAGGGCAAGGCAAAGGCAATCTGCACCACTGAGCT